CCCCAAAACCCCAAAACCCCAAAACCCCAAAACCCCAAAGAGGAGGAACATTATTGAAATTTGAACACCTCACTAAGTACTTAGACCACATTCATGGAGGTGCTGAAGATGTGATCTTGAGTGGAAGGCTCATGATTTTGGAACACCTGCTGCACACTTTTCAAACACTTCTTCTTCCCCTTCTTGATCTTCCTAATATCTGCCATTTCATTTGAGATCTATGATTGTATTCAAAACAATTATTGAAGAGGAAGACTATTTTAGAAAAGTGTCTTACCATAGAATTAAACTGATCAACCGACATGAATCTCTCTTTAAGGTCACTGATGGACGGGAACATACTAGGTCTCTGAGTATCACTTCTCTCTTTAGAAGGGGAGAACTGGAAGCTCCTAACTCCTGGATACTCTTTAGCACCTGTCCATCTCATCTTCTTTGCATCTATAGATCCTTTTCTCTTTGTCCTCGGCTTGAAGGTAGCTCTAGAGGAGCCTTGGTCTATCTTCTTTCTTGGAGAAGGTGAGACATCGTAATAAACCTGATGCATGTATCTTTCAACTGGATCTTCCTTCTTACCATATTCATCATAAGTAGAAACTATTGTTTTGTATTTTTCATTTTTAAGAAACCTCTTCTGAAGATCTTTGATTGGCAAGGCTGGTTTAGCATTTTTGATGTTACTTTAAAATATCAATATTAGACTTCATAATTCTTCTCATTTCACTTTTCCGCCTACCAAAATTCAGAGAGTTTGGTCCTTTGCCTTCAAACCTAATCTGGTTTGGTCTGCTCACTCTATAAAATTGTAAAACTTGACACAGGCAAGACTGTAAAACTTACATTGAGGCTAAGCGTTGAAACATTTTCTGGTTTTGCTGGGAGATATTCCTTTCCCTCTTTTTGATCTCTGTCATGAGATTATTCTGCCTCAACTTTCTGTTGAGATCTCAGCGTTTACTTTCCACGGTGTTCACAACAGAGGTTATTTTCTTTACCTTCATTTTATTTTTATAATTTTTAATGGATTGTAACAATTCTTGGGAATATTTCTGGGGTTTTGGGGTTTTGGGGTTTTGGGGTTTTGGGG